TTTAGAAAACATCAAGAAGTGTTGTGTCCAAGTACCCTGAGAAATCTACCTTTTGTATTGAATGCCTCCTGAAAAATAGCACAGCACTTCCTGTTCCCCGAGACTGATAGCTGCACTGTAAGATCATCTAAGGCACCGCTGCCTCTGTCTGCTAGTCAAACAAGATTTCGAGTAAGATTTTGTGATGTCAGTAGTCACTGTTCTCCTTGCTAGAGAGGAAGCTGTACCTGAGGACCTGCAGTGCACTAGTTCATCAGATCATCAGTCATCAGAGGGGCACTAAGAGGAAGCATAGCCCTGCAGCCAACCAAAATGGCCAAAACGTGGAACAAGGCATTGAAAATCAGAAACGGGGAAAAGCTCATCAGCAGGGAGCCAACAGACATTACTGGTGACTACTTTCAATTTAATAAATCTGTGCTCCCACTCCAATCAAAACAATCACCCTGTCTTGAGGAACCGGGTGAAATTCACACAGTGTGTGCCGCTGTCAGCACCCTTTCGACCGGCATCCCTTGAAAGAGCCGGCTGGAAAATCTTCATATGACCAGAGTCGGCAGCCAGAGAGCTGCCGGCTCTCTTTGGGTATTCTGACAGCGGCCACATACTTTACAATGCAAACAGAGGGGATTCCTCCGTCGACACTCTCGTAGTGTTGATGGAAGAATCTAGAAGCTCTATTTTTTCCTTCAGCCCACGGGTTGAAAAAAAAAAAACAGAGCAGTGTATGGCCACCCTTAGTTAAAAGGGTCTTATGTTCTTATTCTGTGAGCTTGATTAAAATACACCGTACGTCAAGCAAAGAGTCTCCTGCGCTGCACAGTCCTTAAGCATCTGTCACCAGTGCAGAATAGTCACTGACAGGACAATCAGTTTTTTGTGACAGTGGTAAAGTAAGCTGTCTTGCACTGGCCGTGCACTGTAAGGAGACGCCTAATCCATATTAATATTTCATGAAAAAACAGATGCCTCGCTCAGCCACCAGCCCAGCAGGGAGTATAGCTATAGTCTGGCCATGTGTTCCGTAAAGCGAAGCATCTCTGCTTACAAAGTTCAAGATTGCATTCAGCAAGTCTACAGAACGGAGGCTGAAATTCATATTAGTGATATCAATGATAAAAAAAACAGTGTGAGACGGATGGGAGGCTGCAACGTATCGATCATAGTGCACACATAGAGCACACATTCCTCATCTGAAGGTCCTGCAGATTTATCTTAGCCCCATGTGTTCAAGTACAGACCAAGAATGAATATTCTATGAAGCGATGAGGCCATTCTTGATTGCTCTCATGCACCTGCTTCCAATCTCAGTAGGACAGTAGGAGCACAAAGGGGTCCAGGGCGGCGTTCGTGGAAGAAACAATTATGCCTTCCTTAAACTTAACTTGTACTCTGCGGAAAGTAACACATTTTCTTTACAAAAGAGACAATAAGCATCCTGTACTACACTTCTCCACGCTCCCTCGCCACCCCAAATTACTTGACCACCCCAGATTCCTGTATGTGTGTTGACCTGCTGAACAATCTCAAATGTACCCAGGGCTGGGCATGCTTGCCCACATGAAAGCACTCAAGGTGGCCAGGGGAGTATCATGTGTTTCTACACCCAAAAATAATGGGTATTGGCTGATTATAGTTCCTTCTGCAACATGGAACTGTTATGGCCCATTCACACCTATGAGTCTTAAAGCACATCAATGCATGTACTGATGTGAATGTGTACTATGTAAAGCGCTGCGTAAATTGTTGGCGCTATATAAATACCTGCAATAAATAAATAAATGAAAGTAAACATATGAGCCATTGTTATAAAGAAGAATAAAACCGATATCCTTGCAGTAGGGGTTATGTGCTTGTTTGGTCTAGGGCAGGGGTAGGCAACCTCGGCTCTCCAGATGTGCTGAAACTACAAATCCCATAAGGCATTGCAAGCCACAGGCATGACTTCCAGAAGCATAATGGGATTTGTAGTTTCAGCACAGCTGTAGAGCCAAGGTTGCCTACCACTGGTCTAGGGGGCTCAAATAAGCTGTATGACGTACTCGATCCTCAGTCCCGCAGCAGTCAACGCTCACCTCTCTCTCCCTCCACTCCGCACTGGCTACGGAATGGCCCTCAGCATCCTCACGTATAATACAGGTCTGTGGACCTGTATAAGATGTGATGATGATGTCAGCGGTCCTTAGACCACTAGAGCCCAGGGGAGAAATGGCTGTGGGGACTGGTCGAGCAGCCTAGGACACATATAACCGCACAGATCCAGCAATAAGCACATGTAGCTTCGGTCAGGTCAGCCCAGATAAACATAGTGCACGTTGACAGACTATCAAACATTAGACTGCTATAAACGTTTATTACCAATGCAGAATATGTTTTCCTTTTTAACGTTCTGAAGATTACAATACAAGAAAATTACTCAAAATCATTTTTGTGACAATAGTGAAGTCTGATGAACACCAAATGAAGAAGTCGTACTGAACACCAAGGGGCCCTTATTTTCTCCAGATTGAAATCTCATGTCTGTGCTTTACCAGCCATGCTTATACCAGTCTATAGCTGGCCATACACCTATAGATTATCTGCAGATTTTCTATGGTCAGATGGAAAAAGTGCAACAGATTCCTCCAACTACGCTAAACTGTGTGGATGGAGGAATCTCCCACAGGACCAAGCTTCAGTATCTTGCTAGTCAGCCCCGCTGGCTCTAAAAATACCTGAACAATGCCTACATCCAATCGGAGTGTTTAGGTATTTTGGGCCGACTAGCAATTTACTGAAGCTTGGCCCAGCGGGAGATTCCTCTGTCCACACGGTTTAGGCTGGGTTCACACCTGGTCGTTTTTCAGCGTGGATCGAAGCGCTGAAAAACGCTCAGCAAGTGAAATCCCATCATTTCCTATGGCCATGGTTCCCACCTGGGCTTATTTCAGGGCGTGGAAACGCGCTGAAAAACGCCCTACGCCCAAACAAGTACAGGAGCTTCTTTTGGGGCGTATTTCCGCGCGTATCCATTGGTATTCCCGTGTGTGGCTCGGGGTAAAGAAAGCGGTAACCACGAGCCACACTCAGGAATACAGTGTAGGTCTTACCTCGTCCCTGCTGTGTCCTCCGGCCGCTGCTGTCTTCTGTCCCTTGCAAGCGTCCGCGTCGCAGGGGTTCGGAACCGACGGGAAATTTGAAAGTGGAAAAAAAAACCCGAAAAAAGATAGAGAAAAAAAAAATCATACCGCCAGGGAGGTATAAAAACGAGCGTTGAACACATGTTTCACTAAACTAAAAAATGTGCTAAAATTGAGCTAAAGAAACGCGCCTATAGTAACGCCCAGGTGTGAACCCAGCCTTAGCGTAGATGGAGGAATCTGTTGCACTTTTTCCATGTGCGCATAGGGTGATAGAAAAAAAAATCTATAGGTGTATGGCCAGCTTAAGACAAAGTTGACATAAGACAGGCCAGCTAAGAAAGAATGCAGAGATATCATTGACCTCCGCTAGCAAGGTCTTCAAAATACTACAAACAAGGCCCTGTTATAAACAATTCATCCCCACACAGCTCCCTCCTCATGTATCACTTGCCCCTCCCGTTTAGATCGTAAGCCCTCAGGGGCAGGGCCCTCCTTACCATCTTGTCTTGAATTGTATTGTAATTGTAACGTCTTCCTTATATTGTAAAGCGCTGCGCAAACTGTTGGCGCTATATAAATCCTGTATTATAATAATAAAAAATGGCCCTTTTGTAAACAATCTAAGAGAGACATTGAGCCATGCACATCTGTAGATATGGTTTTGACCTGAAACTGGACTTTTATACATCGCAAGTTCTCAGCTCTTCATAACTCCCACAGTAATGGAGTCACCTTCATAAAAAGTGGTTACATTGAGATGTATAAGAAGATGGCAATCAGTTGGACACCAAACACATTACCAGGCATATTACCAAGGATAATAAGGCACATTTGATCTCCTAATATGACAAATCCGTATCATATTTGGTATCTGATTGTAATCTCATTTTGTCAAATAGTATTCTTGTTGTTGTATTGTGAAACCTTGTCATGTGATAATAAAAGTAAAAAGCCACACCGCCTTGTCAAGACTCCTCTGTGTTGTGTGGTCCTAACTCTAATCTACGAGAGCCGCCATCTTGGAGTATATATAGAAAAGGATGACTTCGGTGCAGGTTTGCCAGCAGGTAGCCCAATCTCCTTAAAGGCATAGTGACACACCAGAAGGACCACACCTATCCACACAGAATGCCACATATTTTGCAAAAGTTGGGCAACTAAAACCTCAGTTTTTAACCCTAATAGTTAGACAGGGCTTTTTTTTTTGCAGGCTAGCTGATAGGTGTGCTGGGAAATGTTTTCTCTTGTAATATGTGCACCTTGCTTTAAAGCTAGTTATGAATTGATGTGTGTTTGCCATTCGTTTCACACGTCCTTATTATGAGCACACGACACACATTGCTTTCATTGGATTTAAACATTCCATTTTGGAATGAGTGGAGTTTTCCCCAAATATAAACCACATTGACTGTTAGAATTTCATTCACTCGAGAAACATTTCCACGCTGCTCCTTTAATTTTTTTCCCGTCCCCATCGTCTCATTGCAGCGACGATTTAACTGCATTAACTATTCGAAAATTGAAGGAACATTCCGAAAATACATTTTTCTGGTGTATAGCTAGAGTTTGGCAAAACTGCTGGAGTCCTAACACCGAACGCCCAAGCTTCCATTACATGCAGCCCGCTTATCACCATATGTCTTCCGCTCGCCAGCCAGCGTTCCCTTCTTTTATACCCAGCCGGTAATGTCACATGTCACCACCGCCCTCCCTCCCCCTCAGCCCTTAACCAATGAGCGGTTGGAACAGAACTACTAGCCAGCTCCTCCTCTGATCCGCCCACTGAACTCCGCCGTCCGGCGCTTAGAGGGTTAGACCAATGGGCGGGCCGGTTGACACCGAAGTCCCCCGGTGATTGGATCGTCGCTGTCACGCCCCCTCCCGTTCGCCGAGCGCCCCTCGCAGCCAGAGTCAGTGCACGGGGATCGGGGGACGCGATGTGCGCTCTGTGTACGGCTCCGCAGCGACTTCTCCTCCCGAGCAGCGGCGGCACCGTGCACCGGTGAGATCACTCCCCTCCCACTCCCCTCCTTTCCACCCACAGCCACCACACATGTCCCCACCGCTCCCCTCCACCAATGTGGACTCCTCCGCTTCTCCTTTGTAATCGGCACAGCAGGGAATCATGGCGAGCCGCCGGACTGCTCCACCTGAGGGGGACGGCAAGAGGAAGAGGCAGCCGCCCAGCAGCCCGCCTGACGAGGTGAGCTTCCTCGGGAAGGGGGGGAGGTGTTGGAATCTGGATTGCAATTCCTCTCTACGTGCTGGAAATGCCCGGGCTCTGGCTGCCAGCCAGGGCACGCTGGGATCTGTTGTTCCACAGGTGGCTTGTAAGGAGGGAACTACCCTGCCCTTGTTCTGGTGATTGCACAGGCTGTTGAAGTATCCAGGGTGGCCTTTCAAAGTGTTACACTTGTTGCTGTGGAGGGAATGCGGAGCCCCCAGTGTCTGCGGAATGCACCTGCTTGGACGGGACCCTGTGGGCAGTGCCACGGATGGTTGGCCATCGGTGGGCGCCTGACGGTTCTTCTTGACCAATGGGATGACCTGATTCCGCTTTGTATTTATTTTGCTGTGCTTTGTGCTGCTGTAGTGGAGGGTTTTGTGTTTTTGTTGTTTTTTATTTTTGGATATTTAGGGAACAGTCGGAATCCCCATCATTGTCATCTGCCGGGGGAGATTCACTCTCTCTCATTTGTTCTGGGACCGTTGCCCCCAGGACTGAAGGCGAGGGGATATCCCATATATTGGGTTGTCACCAGAACAGGAACAGATGGGAAATCTTCCAATGGGGACACTAGTTCGGTGACATAAGGAAGGATTGCTTTATGATGTAATCGCTCATTTCCTGTTGTAAGTAAAAGGGAATCCGTGAACAAAAATGATCAGATTCACACGTTCCCAACTCTGCCCAATGCAAAAAATAATCTATTATAGAATCCGGGAGCCAGCTCCATAGACAACAGCTACACCAGGGGTGGGCAACTCTAGTCCTCCAGCTGTGCTATAACTACAAATGCCAGCATGCCTCCGGGAGTCATGACTGTAACTGTCAGTCTTGCAATGCTCATGGGACTTGTAGTTTCACAATAGCTACAGCAGGGTTGGGCGACTCCGGTCCTCTAGCTGTGCTTTAACTTCAAATCCCATCATGCCTCTGGAAGTCATGCCTGTGGCTGTGAGACTCTTGCAATGCCTCGTGGGACTTGTAGTTCCACAACAGCTGGAGGGCTGTGGTTGCTTACCCCTGGAGTAGGTAAGAGTTAAAACTGCTGAGAGTTTTTTTTTGCCTGTGTACAATTGAGGAATTTTCCTTTACTTCCTGTCCCAAAGATGCAACAGGAAGTGAGAGGAAATCCTTCCTATATGAGGGAAATCCATGGTGGTCAACAGGGTCATCAGAACTAGTGTCCCCACTGGAAGATTTACCATCTATTCCTGTTCTGATGACAACATAAGTTTTTGTTTTTTTTTCCTTTTCCTTCACTCTCAGTGATAAGTCACCAGGACAAACCTCCCAAATTAAGGGGGATTCCCCTCTTGGGGTCACCGTGCTTCCTACAATCTGACTGTACAGTCTTTCTACAAATCGGCTTCCAAAATCAATACGAGGACCTACCGAGGCCGTCCAATCCATCTGTATCCTATCGGGCAGGCTCAGTTGTTGGTAGAATTGAAGCAGATTGTATAATCATTGTGCAGTGTATGGTCTGCTTTAGACCGTTGTCCCCAGGGGTGGCCAACTTACTGTCAGTCACCACTCCCTGCAGGGATTCCCCCCTCCTCGCTCTGATCCTCCAGCGCTGAGTGAAGGAACGGATGGCGGAGGGGGCGGGCACAGCAGGCTCTTCTAGATAGGCAGAGCCCGCTGTCACGCAGCTGGGTGGATCTCGACAGTAATGTCGGGATCCGTCCCGGCTGCGGTGGTCTCCGTATATCGCGAGCCGTAGATGGCAATATACTGAGCTTTGGTTACGGGAGGAGGTTAGTATATGTCCTCCCGTAACCCTTAAGAGAACTATGGGGAAAAACACTTACCCCATAGTTCTCTCTTACGATTCTAGCGCATCCCTTCCAGTTTCTTGTTGTGCCCCCGCTTCTCCACAACAGTTCTTGGTTTAAGTAGCGTATTCCCAATACTGATGAGTTTATACATGGGGATCCTGTCATTCCTGTTCTGGTGACAACCCGCAATTTGGGACCTTCCTCTGCTTCCAGTGATGTCACCAGGAGAAATGGGGAGGGTGAATCTTCCTAATGGGGACACAGACTAAAAACCTGACAGGGCGATCTAATCCTTCTGAACTCCATCCAAAACGAAGAAAAAAGAATTGTCTTCAGCAGCACTTTCAGTTGGTTGTATGATCGTGTTGTGATGTGTGTGGTGGGGGCCCTAAGATTTCCGCTTTCAGAGCCTGTCCAATCATAGTGGGGCTGGGGTGGGTGGTAATGTTTGTGGTTTTGTTGCCGATATCCTGACGTATGATGGAACGTGTCACATCTGGTAGAATTGCACTTGTAACTAAATGAATTGTTCAGGCTCCTTTCTGATTGGTCTGTTTCTAGTGAAAAGCTTTGAGCTGATTGGCTGCTAGGGGAGCTCCTGGTCTATAGTCCACAATATGTTGTGTATAATAAAATAAAAGTATAGCAATAAAGTCCGACTCTCCCCTGTGTGGCCTCCATGGCAGGAGTCTGAGCCAGCATAACCCACATTGTCCCCCCTCCACCCCTCCACCAAGGCCCAACTCCTCCTCTGTAATTCTCTTTCTATTCCGGGGCAGCCAGAACATGTGTGCCCAGCCAGACCAGCGCTGATAAAACAGAGGCGGCACTGCAAAAGTCAACACCGCTCTGCTTTACACACTGACTTACTTTGTATTCAAGCCAATCCCAGGCTGTCATGCTGCAGAACCTATTGGGAGGAAGCAGAATCCTTCATAAAGTTTTATTTAGAATTTGTTATGCTTTCATATTTCTGCATTCAGATGAGTACAGAGGACGGCTCTTCACACACAATCCCCACATTGTAAGATTTAAAGTGACACGAAACTCCATCAAATCTTAAAAATACATCCTAACTATTACCAAAAACGTCTCTTATGTGTGTATCACTCGGCTGTAGATCCTCCAATCATCTCTGAATTGGTGCTGACACTGTCCTTCCTTCTGGAGGGGGGCAGGTTTAGTTTACTCATTTGTAGAGTGCAACTCGGTATTCTGTGACTGCGTGCAAAGAGCCGTACACCACACTGACCAATCCCAAGTCGTCTTTTTTCACTCATCTGAATGCAGATATATAACAGCCAGTACATTGCTAGGACACTTTACACGTAAGCTTTGTCCTTTGATCTGCCTTTATTAGTACGAGACTTGGCGGTGATCATACATGGCGGTATTTGGAATGGCGCTAGTGATTGGCTTTGAGGTTAATTCTGCTGTCTGACCTTGTTTATCGGCATCTAGGTTCAGAAAATCACATCTTCCTGGACTGTATAAAATATTGCTGGTCTGTTATGTCTTACCCCACCTGCTTCTGGTTTCTATGAAATGTGTGTGTATAATATATCAATATTAAAATATATATGTATGTGTGTGTTTTGTTGAAGGCTGTTTTTACATTGTTAATGTGTACAAACCATTGTCACATTGTAGCACAGTGAACATTGGGACTTTTGTTGTACACTTTCTTTGAGTCTGGTGCAGTGAGCAGATGTTGAATGGACTTGTGGGAAATTGTAGATATCACTGCAGGGCGAGCTGTCAAACTCAGGCGTTTTGGTATTTCTGTACTTTCAAACATATAGTAAGAACTCTTTACTTTTCACAACGACAGCTGTCAAGAGAGAGTTGTGCTGACTTGCCCTATGCAGAGAGCCATATGTGGTTTTTGTTTGAATTATATATAATGTGGCCTCTCTCTCTCTCTCTCTCTCTCTCTCGCCTGCCTGTCAATGCTGTAAAGAATGCTTTCAAAATATATATTTTTTTATTGTTTATTTTGATCAATTTACAAAATACACAATACACAGAAGAAACATCGAAATAAAATCAATATTTGTTGTGACTTTCCTATGGCTTCAAACCAGCATCAATCCTCAAGGTGCCCACGCAGCTATCGATTCGATCGGAAATCGTCCACGAATGGTCTTTTGAACAATAATTGATCGATTGATGGGAACCCTACAATTTTCTTTTTCTTTTACTATACTCCTGGAACAAGGCTGAGTGACTGAACTATGCACGATAAACATAGGAATTGGGATGGGGAATAATGGCAGCAGGTGGTCTGGGCTGAGGAGTCAAAATGTGAAATATTTGGCTGCAGCAGGAGGCAGTTTGTTCGGTGAAGGACTGGAAAGCTGTACCATGAGTGTCTGCAGATACCTATCCATTAGAGCTGCAGCTAACGATTATTTTCAAAATCGATTAGTTAGCCGATTATTAAGTTCGATTAATACCAGACAAAGTCATTCTGAACTATCTTCAGAGTAAAGAAGAACAAGGAGTGCTGGAAGTGATGGCTTGGCCCCCACAGATCCTGATCTCAACATCATAGAGTCTGTCTGGGATTACATGAAGAGACAGAAGGATTTGAGGCAGCCGACATCCACAGAAGTTCCCCAAGATGTTTGGACCAACCTACCTGCCGAGTTCCTCCAAAAACTGTGTGCAAGTGTTTGTGTGCAAGTGTTTGTGTGCAAGTGTTTGTGTGCAAGTGTTTGTGTGCAAGTGTTTGTGTGCAAGTGTTTGTGTGCAAGTGTTTGTGTGCAAGTGTTTGTGTATATTTTTAATGTATTTGAGCAAATCCCAGGAGCCTGGTTATTAATGCTCCTTAAAATGACAGCTGATGCCTACCTTGAGGTTGTCAATGGAGATAGCTCCTGAAAACAAATCCTGCTGGCTCCTGGATTGGGCAGATTGGCTCCTAAACTCCATATTAATTTTTCCACCCTTAGGCCTCATTCACACACAACACAAGAGCAAAATTGTACGCATATTTCTAAATGCGTATAGTCGTTTATGCGTGAATTGTATGAAATCCCAGAATGCATAATTTTTAATAGAAACTTTAATGTACTGTACGCGTTTATGTGAGCGCGCGAGTAAAATATACGCAGAAATTCTGAGCCCCGACGTATCTAGGTTCCATTTTGTTTTTGCGCATCTTTACGCTGCACAAAAATACAGCTCCATACGCAG